AATATTATAGTCTTTGTGGGTCATGCAGTTTCTGTTGCAATTACTCAATTCTGCAATTATTATATGAAAGCAGCCATAGAGGACACATAACCAGATGAGTATGGCTGTCTTCCAATGAAACTTTATTTTCAAAAATGGGTGGCTGCTGAATTTGGCCTATAGGCTGTAGTTCATTGGCCCTGTTTTAGACAATAAGTTTTGGGAATGTTTGTTTTGCCATAATAGGTAACAGAAATAACTTGCTGTAGTCTCATTATTCAAGGTGTCCTCATTCTTGAGAACATTCTTCTGCTATGATTTCATTCTTGATGACTCCCTGGTGTGGAATGCCCTCGTTTCTCAGACCTGGCCCTAGGAAATTTGGAAAATCAGCAGTGTGTGTTTTTAGTCTCCTTATTGAGAGGTTCTGGAGGCGCCAAAAAAGGAATGGTTGTTGAAGTGCTCTTTCATTGGGAATAGGTGCCAGTTCCTAAGATCCAGATGTATGGTGACGTCTCTCCTCCTGCCCCAGAACCCCAAGGCTCTGTGGCATTTGACATGGGTGACATGGAGCTGCCTGAGGCAATGGAAGGGAGGGTAACAAAGTCTCCCAGCCTGATAGCCTTGTTAAATCATTAGACAGAGTCAACTGGCCCCATAAAATTGGGACCTCTGACCCTACCAATTCACATGTTGCCCACAAGGCTTAAATTTCTGTGGGGAGCAACCCGGACTAGACTGAGTTACTGGAATTAAGACTTATTCTATGCATCTGCTCTCCCACAATATGGCGCTGGGAGAGAAGAAAACAGCTTCTACACAGGTGCCTCCAGTTCAGCCAATAAACTGTAGGACTTGCTCCTGATTGGAGGAGAGCAGCGTACTCGGCGTGTGGGCAGCCGAGTTGGGATTGGCAGAGGAGGACTATAAAGGAGGAGAGAGACGGCATGCACCGGGAACATCTAAGGAGAACATCTAAGGGGAACACCTGTGCAGCCCCCGAGAGAGCCGGCCGGCGGAGTGCCGCTCCCCTGCAGAAGTGGGGAATGTGGCAGGGGGAACCGCCCTTCCACGGAGGTGGAAGGGATAGTAGCCAACCCGGGAAGAACCAGCAGCAAACCCGGGGAGGGCCGAGCAGACGAAAGAACAGCGCAGGGTTCTGTGTCGTTCCTCCACGAAGAGGGGGAGCGACAATTTCCTAGGCTCTTTTCATGATTTGCCAAGGCTGTGGAAGCCTTTTGAGTTTGCGGACTCCGGTCTTATTTAAACGAGGTCATAGTCAAAGTGGAAGTTGTCTCCTCCCTTCAGAGAAAGGTGCCTTCTTCTCTTTGATGGCCCGTTCTTTCCACTGGGATCTTACTTGCAGAGATCTTTCATTTAGGTTTATTTATTTATTTACTTTTTGCTAGAGTGTCTTGGCTTTCCATGCCTAAAATAAGAAGTGCTGATTTCTGAGTCAAGTTGCCTGGAAGCAAATTCTGTTTTAACGACTGCATAGATTTGGGCAATTCATTTAACATTCTTTTTTTAAAAATTTATTTGACAAGGCCGGCGCTGCGGCTCACTAGGCTAATCCTCCGCCTAGCGGCGCCGGCACACCGGGTTCTAGTCCCGGTCGGGGCGCCGGATTCTGTCCCGGTTGCCCCTCTTCCAGGCCAGCCCTCTGCTGTGGCCAGGGAGTGCAGTGGAGGATGGCCCAAGTGCTTGGGCCCTGCACCCCATGGGAGACCAGGAGAAGCACCTGGCTCCTGGCTTCAGATCAGCGAACTGCGCCAGCCGCAGCGCGCCGGCCTCACCGGGCATTGGAGGGTGAACCAACGGCAAAAGGAAGACCTTTCTCTCTGTCTCTCTCTCTCACTGTCCACTCTGCCTGTCAAAAAAAAAAAAAAATTATTTGACAGATAGAGTTAGACAATGAGAGAGAGAGAGAGAGAAAGGTCTTCCTTCTATTGGTTCATCCCCCAAATGGCCGGAGCTACGCCGATCTGAAGCCAGGAGTCAGGTGCTTCCTCTTGGTCTCCCTTGAGGGTGCAGGGGCCCAAGCACTTGGGCCATCCTCCACTGCCTCCCAGGCCATAGCAGAGAGCTGGACTGGAAGAGGAGCAAACGGGACTAGAACCCGGCACCCATATAGGATGCCAGTGCTGCAGGCAGAGGATTAACCAAGTGAGCCACGGCACCAGCCCCCATTTAACATTCTAATCTCAAGTTTCCTCACTTACAAAGTGACAGTGATAATAGTATTTTCCCTTATAGTTTTGTGCTGATTGAATGACACAATCCATGTGGAGTCTGTTTCAGAGTGTGTGTAAATGCTAAATATTAAAATAATTTTGACTATTATAAATTATTAACTCACTGATTAGTCAATTCAGTAGAGTTTCCTAGTTCCTGACATTTGGTATGTTATTTACACCATTTTCTGAAGCATTTTCACTTCTATATATCATTGTCTGCATCAAAAGTTCTAGAAATAGTAGCACAGTAGTAATTAATCACAATGTTAAGGGGAGAAATGCAAGGTTGAGGTGTTAAGTCTTCTATTGTACCAGTTATCTTTGTTCTTGTCCAGTGAAGCTGGTAGGAGACAAGCATTATCGTTCCATTTCCTTAGTTTACTCGTGGGGAAGAGAGGCATGGAATTAAGGGAGTGCAAGAAAAACTAACAGCTAAGTGTTGCAGGGCACTTCCCCAAGAAGTAGGCTCAGAGATTCGCATGGTGGGAATTCACTGCACCATGATCTCTCAATCTCCATCTGTGGGTGCATTAAGGAGACAGGGATGGGCACAGAGGGAGGTAGGGTGTGATTTAGTTGGAAACAGAAGCATCAGTTATCCCATAGGGAGCTCTGAAGCTCAAATGACCCTGCAGAGTTGACCCAATGAAGCAAGAAAGTAGAGTCTTAAAATCCACCAATTGACCAGTCATGGGCTGTGCATCATCTCTGGTAAGAAGCAAGAACTTGAACAAAACTGCTGTCTTTGGCTGAGAACAATGCCCAGAAGGGGCCTTGGCTGTCTACACTCTGTGCTGAACATTTTTTGGGAATCTGGGTGGCATTTCACAGCATCCACAACATAACAGATTCTCTAGTCTGTGCCAGGCATTGTGCTAAGAACTCACAGCATCACTGCATGCAAGCATCCAACAAACTGCATAATTACTGAAGAGAACTATGATATTTTTAGCCCCTTCTGTATGTTTGGTGGGTTACTAACTATGATTCATACAGTTTTCTTAACCAAACAAGGCTGGACTTATGTTGTATTTTAGATGCTAAAGATAAACTTAGAAGCATTAAAATTTTATTTTAAAAGATTATTTGAAAGGCAGAATCACACACACACACACACACACACACACACATACACACACACATTTTTCATCTGCTGGTTCACTCCCCAGATAGCAGCAACAGTCAGGGCTGTGCCAAAGCCAGAAATCTGGAACTCAATTCAGATTCAGATTTCGCATGTGTGTGGCAGGGATCCAACCACCTGGGCCATCAGCTGCTGTCTCTTAGGGTGCGCATTAGCAGGAAGCTGGAATCAGAAACAGAGCTAGTATCCCAAGCTGTAGTTTAACTGCTATGTGAAATACTCACCCCTCATCTTAAATTGGGAAGCCCCGAATTGTGAGTTTGGGTTCAGGGTTCCACTAAAGGGCCGTGAAGCAGAAACAAGGGCAAAGCAAATATTTGGTTAAAGTGAAGAGTAGCCTAATAGTCCGTACTTAAAGATCAGTTCTTTGTTTCTGATTGTTAAAGTCCATAGCTGGAGGTTGGTTGGTAGTTTCTGATTGGTGAATCTTAAATTTCATTTTCCTAGGATCTGATGGCTTATGCTGAGTTGGGTTTCAGTTTGCTTATGCAAAAACTCAGTGCAAAAGTCACCTCAGTCTCATGGCTTTTCAGTCAACTATATTTAACACAGAAGAGAAGTTGGAAGTTCAGAAAAACCAGCTCAGCACTCAAGACCTGAAGCCAGTTCTGTGTGACTTCAGAGCCAGTGACCTTCCCACTGGACAGTATGAACTCATTTTATAGATGAGGAACTTGAAGTTTAGTGAGGTCTAGTGGAGGGCACAGCTGGGGCTTGAACTCAGGCACCATGCCACGCCATTTTGTGGGAAGGAGAAAGTTGTACAATGAGAAGTTGAGAAAGATCATGACCTGGTGAGCAAACAAAAGGCAGCTAAGTTGAAGGTTAACTTCCCTGAACTCTGCTCACCTTGTCCTTGATGCTTCAAAGACTTTAAGACATTTCCTGACAGCCGCAGTAGGTCAGCTTTTTTTTTTTAAAAGAGTTTATTTATTTATTTGAGGCAGAGTGACAGACAGAGAGAGGGAGAGACAGAGAAAATGGTCTTCCACCCACTGGTTCACTCCCCAGATGGCTGCAATGGCTAGAGCTGGGCCAATCCAAAACCAGGAGCCAGGAGCTTCTTTCGGGTCTCTCACGTGGTTGCAGGGCCCCAAGGATTCGGGCAATCTTCCACTGCTTTCCCAGGCCATAAACAAAGACCTGGATTGGAAGAGGAGCAGCCGGGACATAAACTGGCACCCATATGGGATACTGCACCACAGGTGGAGGCTTACCCTATTACACCACAGCCCCGGCTTTGAGCATTTCACTAGGCTTGGCAGGGAAGGTTTAGAAAGCCACCTCGGTTTTTGCCATTTCCCCTGCCTTCTTTTGTACCTGCCTCTAGAGGCTGAACACAGCTTTAGGGCAGGGGTTAGAGAACCTTAACTTAGTACTATTAAATAAAAAATGAAATCTGTTCCTTTGGTTGTTCCAGTTGCTGTACCTGAAGGCCACCAGGTGGCGCTCACCTTCTATGTCTCAGATTTCTGTGTGTCAATGGGTCTTCCCTCGTCTGCTGTTAACAGTGTTTAATGGCTAATACAGTGGTTATTAGGAACTTACTATGTACCTAGTAAATTACATAATTATTTTGTTTAATTCTCACCACAACTCTTTAATATAGGCATTATTGTCCTTAACTTACAAATGAGATCAGGTCATTGAGTCAAGTCATTGAGCCAGGATTTTAACCTGGTCATTTGACTCCAGAGGTGTGTTTTTTTTTTTGACAGGCAGAGTGGACAGTGAGAGAGAGAGACAGAAAGAAATATTGTCCTTTGCTGTTGGTTCACCCTCCAATGGCCGGTGAGGCCGGCGCGCTGCGGCTGGCGCAGTGCGCTGATCTGAAGCCAGGAGCCAGGTGCTTCTCCTGGTCTCCCATGGGGTGCAGGGCCCAAGCACTTGGGCCATCCTCCACTGCACTCCCTGGCCACAGCAGAGAGCTGGCCTGGAAGAGGGGCAACGGCGACAGACTCCGGCGCCCCGACTGGGACTAGAACCCGGTGTGCCGGCGCTGCAAGGCGGAGGATTAGCCTAGTGAGCTGCAGCGCCGGCCTGAATCCAGAGTTTTACTTCTTCCTTTTGATGGTCTCCTTAAGAATTACTACTGCAGTTTGAAGGTGTACATTTTGTGTGTTGCAAACTTAATCCCCAGAGACATAGGTAATTGTGTTTGAGAGGTGATACCTTTGGGAAGTTTCTGTCATGAGGGCATAGAATCATCCACTCATGGATTTGTGGGTTAATGATAAGTGGGTCATCTTGGGGAGTGGCTTTGTTATATAAGAGAGCTGTCTCTGGCTTGCTTGCTCTGTTTCACCAGCGGATGCCCTCTGCCACACACCATGACCCAGCAGGAGGGCTCATACCAGGTGCTGAATGGATACCAGCAAGGTGTTCTTGGACTCCTACTCTTCAGAAGGGTGAGCTAAGTAGACATCTATTCTTTTTTTTTAAATATTTATTTACTTATTTGAAAGTCAGAATTACAGAGAGAGGGGCAGAAGAGAGAGATCTTCCATCTACATTTTCACTCCCCAAATGACCACAATGTCCAGGACTGGGCCAGGCCAAAGCCAGGAGCTTCATCCAGGTCTCATACACGGATGGCAGGGGCCCAGATACTTGGGCCATCTTCTGTTGCTCTCCCAGGCCATTAACAGAAAGCTGGATCAGAAGTGGAGCAGGTGGACACAAGCTAGTACCCATATGAGACACCAGCATCACAGATGGTGACTTCACCTGCTACACCACAACACTGGCCCCAGAAAACCTCTATTCACTTTTTTTTAGATTTAAAAAGATTTATCAGAGTCAAAGACCTCCAGCCAGAGCCGCATAGAGGGAGGCTTCCAAATGAGGAAAAACCCAAAGGACCCTGTGGCACTGACGTTTCTAAATACAATTTTAGGGAAGAAACTGTCAATCAATAACGTGGGGACAACCCCAACAAAAGACCCGATTTACACTTCTTTATCCTGTCTGGTTCGCTCATGATAAAACAGAAAACCATCATGAGGGTGGGATAGGTAACTTGTTTTCATAATAAACTGTAATCACCACTCCCTTTGTATTTTCATGGTAAATTTGGAGATTCCTAAGGAAGAAGGGAAATCAGTTTGTTCTTGCTAAAAACTTTTTTTTGGGGAAGCAAGCATTCTACACCCCAAATTCCATTGAGATCACCCTAACTGCCTATTAACCCATCTGACTCCTAACATTTCCCCCTCAAGAAGAACGGAGCCTAACATCTGTTAGGGCGACTGGGTGATGATCGCTGTGGGTGCTTCATGTTGAAAAGGGGTGTAGTTGGAAAGGGTAGTCAAGCCAGGGGCAAACCTCTATTCTTTACAAATTCCCTAGTCTGTGATACTCAGTTACAGCAGTCATAAAAGAACCATGACAATGACATAATGAAGACATTTGAGTACCTGCTGTGTGATGGACATGCTAGGTGGCATATGAGGTTTGCTTTATTTAAAACTCATGAGTGGCCGGTGCCGCAGCTCAGTAGGCTAATCCTCTGCCTGCGGCGCCGGCACACCGGGTTCTAGTCCTGGTCGGGGTGCTGGATTCTGTCCCGGTTGCTCCTCTTCCAGTCCAGCTCTCTGCTATGGCCTGGGAGTGCAGTGGAGGATGGCCCAAGTCCTTGGGCCCTGCACCCCATGGGGGACCAGGAGAAGTACCTGGCTCCTGGCTTCGGATCAGCGCGGTGTGCCGGCTGCAGCGCGCCAGCCACAGTGGCCATTGAGGGGGTGAACCAATGAAAAAGGAAGATCTTTTTCTCTGTCTCTCTTTCTCACTGTCCACTCTGCCTGTCAAAAAAACAAAACAAACAAACAAAAAAACCTCATGAGCTCCTATGAAATAAATACTACTATTCTTCATTTTGGAGAGGCCATATAACTACTAAACAGGTAATAAGTAGAGGGACGCAGGTTAGAATCAGTCTATGACTCTCACTTTGTTCTTTCCTTAGCATCTTCATATATGCACACAAGCCAAAGAGTGCCCATGATTTCCAGAAGACACCAGACTGTGGGACAGAGCTGGAAGGAGCCTCCTCCAGAGCCTTCCGAGAGCATGGCTATGCCAGTTCCATTTCAGATAGAGCTGATGCATTTCTGCTGTTTTTTCTTTCATTATTTCATTAAAACATTTTTTGGTTAACATGCAATAAATTGCTTGTATACCTTCATGGGATACAGTGCAAAATTTCAGCAGGTGCATACAGCATAAATAGATCAAATCAGCATCTCCACTGCACCAACCCTTCCTCCACACCCTGAGCCTCCCAGCTCCTCTCCTTCAGTTCTATGCACATTACCATGATCTACAGTGGCCCCCTGTGCTGTGTGACACTAGAACCTACTACTTCCAGCTACTTTATTTCAGTATCCATTAGCCAACCTCTTTCCATCCCTCCTGCCCCACCCTTCATGGTTTCTAGTAATCACTATTCTATGTTCAGGTACACTTTTGTCCTTTTTTAAACTTCCACATATGAGACAGAACATTTGGTATTTTTCTCCTTCACTTATTTCACTGAACATAATGGCCTCCAGTCCCATCCACTGTGCTATTGTTTTTTTTTTTTTTAAGATTTTTATTTATTTGAATGGCAGAGTTACAGAGAGAGAGAGAGAAGGAGAGTGAGAGATTTTCCATCTATTGTTTCACTTTCCCAATGGCCATTACCTTGGATTAAGGCCCACCTTATGCCAGTTAACCTCTAATTGACAATTTTCTTCACCCATAAAACGGGCATAATGATAATTATCACCACCTTTTTATAAAATTTATTTATTTGAGAACCAGAGAGAGAGAGAAAGAAAGAGATAGAGGAGGGACAGACACAGACAGAGAGATAGACAGAGAAAGATCTTGCATCTGCTGGTTCACTCTCCAGATGGCCACAATGGCTAGGGCTGGGCCAAGCCAAAGCCAGGAGCCAGGAGCTTCCTCTGGATCTCCCACATGAGTGCAGGGGCTCAAGCACTTGGGCCTTCTCTGCTGCTTTTTCAGGTGTATTAGCAGGGAGCTGGATCAGAAGTGCATCAGCTGGGACTTTTTTTTTTTAAACTTTTATTTAATGAATATAAATTTCCAAAGTACAGCTTATGGATTACAATGGCTTCCCCCCCATAACGTCCCTCCCACCTGTAACCCTCCCCTTTCCCACTCCCTCTCCCCTTCCATTCACATCAAGATTCACTTTCGATTCTCTTTATATACAGAAGATCAGTTTAGCATACATTAAGTAAAGATTTCAACAGTTTGCTCCCACACAGAAACATAAAGTGAAAAATACTGTTTGAGTACTAGTTATAGCATTAAATCTCAATGTACAGTACACTAAGGACAAAGATCCTATATGAGGAGTAAGTGCACAGTGACTCCTGTTGTTGACTTAACAAATTGACACTCTTGTTTATGGCATCAGTAATCACCCTAGGCTCTTGTCATGAGCTGCCAAGGCTATGGAAGCCCTTGAGTTCACCAACTCTGATCATATTTAGACAAGGCCATGGTCAAAGTGGAAGTTCCCTCCTGCCTTCAGAGAAAGGTACCTCCTTCTTTGATGACCCGTTCTTTCCACTGGGATCTCACTCATGGAGATCTTTCATTTAGTTTTTTTTTTTCCCCAGAGTGTATTGGCTTTCCCTGCCTGAAATACTCTCATGGGCTTTTCAGCCGGATCTGCATGCCTTAAGGGCTGATTCTGAGGCCAGAGTGCTGTTTAGGACATCTGCCATTCTATGAGTCTGCTGTGTATCTCACTTCCCATGTTGGATCATTCTCTCCCTTTTTTATTCTATCAGCTAGTATTTGCAGACACTATTCTTGTTTATGTGATCCCTTTGGTTCTTAGTCCTATCATTATGATCAATTGTGAACAGAAATTGATCACTGGGACTAGTGAGATGGCATTGGTACATGCCACCTTGATGGGATTGAATTGGAATCCCCTGGTATGTTTCTAACTCTACCGTTTGAGGTAAGTCAGCAGCTGGGACTTTAACTAGCACCCATATGAACTTTAACTAGCACCCATATAGGTTGTTGGCACTGCAGATGGCGGCTCAACCCTCTATGCCACTGCACTGGTCCCAGTTATCTCCATCTTATAACAAGGTTATTATAAAGACCTAAATAACTAAGATAAAGTAACTCTCAGAGACTGGCAGTATCTGGTTGACCATTGCAGCCCAGCTGCATAGGTTGCAATCTTGGCTTTGTTGCTCACCAGCTGTATAGTCTTAAATAAGTTATCCAAACCCAGTATGTCACAGGGATATAATTTATAACTGACAGATGGTGACGGTAATGATAATTACACCTGTCCAGGAGTGAGCTGTTACAAAAAGTTAAACAATTAGAACAATGCTTGTTACCTAAGATCATCTACTTCATAGCTCATTGGAAGGATTAGATGATGTAATTCCTGGGTCTCAGAGCTTGCTCAATAAATGCTTATTATTATTTATTGTTAATTTCCATTAGGAAAGAGAGACAGAACCACACAAAGAGAAATAGTTGGAGCTTCAGCCAGCAGGATTCTGCAGGCAGGAAAATGGAAAGAGCCAGTATTCTCAGTTCTCTAATTTTTAAAAAAGATTTAACTTCTTATTTGAAGGTCAGAGTCACAGAAAGGGTGTATGTGTGAGAGAGGGAGAGGGGGAGGGGAAAGGGGCTGGAGGAGAGGGGTAGGGGGAGGAGGAGGGGGAAATCGGGTGAGGGTAAGTGCTTTCATCTACTGGTTCATCCATGAAATGGCTGCAAAGGAGCTTCATCTGGGTCCCCCACGAGGGTGGTAGGGGCCCAAACATCTTGGTAATCCTCTTCTGCTTTTCCCAGGCCATTAGCATGGGGTTGGATCAGAAGTGGAGCAGCTGAGATGTGAATTTATCCCTATATGGGATTCCGCTGCAAACAGCAGCTTTACCCACTACACCACAATGCTGGCCTCAGTTTTTCAATTTTAAGTTTAAAGTATGGAGTATAAAGGTCCTTGAGTTTACACCTGGTGTCCTAATTGAGCCTCCAGAGTGTTAGCTCCCCAGGGCAGCATCTGATTCCCTTCTGTCCAACATAAGACAAGGACTCTGCCATCTTCCTGTTTCCTGTTTGTGCCTTGTGACCTCTCTCCCACAGGAACCACTGTGCACTGCGTGTTACAATCTCCCAAGACCCTCCCTTCCTTGGGATCCTTGCTATCCAGCCTACTGTTTTATTCCTATATTAAGGATTTGATTCCTAATCATTGCATTAAAAAAAAAAGAATACAACAAACTACGGAGGTGACAAGTGTCCCTTAACTAAGTACTCTATCCCAAGTATGTCAGGTTCCTCCTCTCTTCATTAAACCTCTGGCTCTCTCTGACTCCAAGCCTTCCTACCTGGGCAGGCCCACTGGTGTAGA